CTTGCAGCCCTAGGCTTGCCTGTGCACACCCTGCCTGCACCACAGCTTGGGAATATCAAGCTGCCTGTAGCTCCCATGGTGGGCTGGGGGCTGGTATGGGGCTGCAGGGTGAGGGTGAGGGTGCAGACACCGTCCGTGGAGTCCTTGGTCTCCGTTGGCGCATGCAGCGAGCACTCCTCTGCCCGCTTGCCTGCCCATCCCTGGGGGGGGTCCCTGGGCCATGCCCTCGGCTCCGTGCCGGTCCCCAGGCACCCTCCCAATCCCACCTTTCTCCCTGCCCGCAGCACGAGGAGGCGGCCGGCCGGAACCACAGCTTGGCTCAACGGGTGCAGGACCTGGAGCATCGGTACAGCGAGGCCAGCACCCTGCAGCACATCCAGGCTACGCTGCTCTACGACATGCAGGCGCAGATAAACAACATCTCCGTCCTGACCGACTGGGCCTGGCGTAACCCCACCTGCCTCAGCCCCGCCGAGATGAGGCTGCAGGAGGAGATGCATCACCCAGGTGATGGGGAGCTGCTGGGGCCAGCTGGGAGGGGATGCTTCACTCTTAAAGCCTTTCTCGAGGGGGATTGTAGAGCAAGGGTGTGGGGAAACTGCTTTAAATCCCCTTTGCCTTGGCCAGGAGCCTGATCTCACCCAACCTGCCCTTCCAAGGCAGCCGGGAGGGCTCCTCAGAGCAATGGATGCCTCTGGGGATGGTTTCCACGTCGTCTAGGAGAAGGGTCCTGTCCCTCGGTGGCTCCTTTTTCTCTCCATGGATGGCGTGAGATGCTCGCAGGGACCAGCTTAGGCTCTGACAAGCAGGTTGGTATTGCTCCCACCATCACCCTACCCACAGTCAGCCGTGTGAGCATTCCTCCCAGCTGTTTTTCCATCCAAAAAAACCCACCAAAAAAACCAAGATTTTTTTTTTTTTCTTCAAAAATTCACAGCATGAAATTAGGGCTTTGGTGAAACTCTTCAACTTTGTAAAGCAATTCTTTTCTGTTATTTCTCACAGGCTCTTTTTTTCATGAATGCATTTAAATTTTTGCCAGGTTTTTGGGTTGTTTTCCTTGTTAGTGCCTGGAATGTTTTCTTCATTTTTTTACCAAACATGGAAACTTTCAATTAAAGAATTAGAGGTTCAGTTTGACCAAAACCCCATTTTCTGCCAAAATACCCACTGCCATGAAAACATTTTGACCAGGGCTTACCATAGCCAGGATCTGCAAAGCTCAACCTTGAGGTGCTGGAAGGGAAACTAAATTGCTTTTGTAACCTGTTCGAGTCTCTGGGTCCGTGGCATGAGGGTGGTGGTCTTTAAGACAAGACCAGATGTGCCAGTTTGGTCCCTGTGCCCCAAATCCCATCTTCTGCAGCAGATATCCGGGAAGAGCATCGGAGAAGGACGAAGCGATGCTTCTCCTGAATAGTCTTCCAGCCTTTGGTGAACTGTGGTTGAGGGACTTCAAAGACAGCATCTGTCTTCTCCATCGAGGAGCAGGCTGGATGGGATGATTCAGGCAGCACGTGCAGCTAAAAAATGGCTTTCACCTACCAACCTTGGTCTGATTTGAGTGACGTCTCACGGGGAAAGTCACGTTACTTATCCCTTGAGCCAACTGGTCTAAGTCCTTTCCATTGTGCTCATTTAAAGCTCTTTTGGCCATCCATGTCGTGGTGGAGGTAGCATTAACAGCTCCGCTGGTACCTGCTTCCAGGTGCCTCTGAGCCCTGAGCAAGAAATGCTCTGTGCAAAACCAGGACGCCAGAGTTGATGTCTACACCCATGACCACCACCTGCCCGCCAGAGCTGGGATTCGTCTCAATAACTTGATGTGACCGGGATGGTGACTTCTCTGGCCCGGAGAATGCCAGCCTGAGTGCAGCCGGTTGACGCAGCACTTTTAGCTAACTTCATGTGGGACTGGGCTCTGCCTGCTGTCCCAGATGCTTGCTGGGTCTACATTGCCTCTCCCTGACCTCTGCTTGCTGCACACAACTGGTTTCTCCCACACGCTCTCCTGCAGCAGCACTGCCGGTTGGTACCAACCTCAAAGGATGTCCCCAATCTGTCACCAGCCTGCAGCCCGTGGGGGACCTCTCAGCCACCACACTCTCCAGCTGGTGGGCTGGGGTGTTGTAACTATTCATCCATCATTCCCCCTGGACTTACTTTCCCGTCCACAAGGAGCTTTCATTGTCTGCCAGTCCCGTGGTCTCATCCTTTCCACGTGCCTCCTGGAAGGGCAATCTCCCATGCATGCTTTCTGCTCCCTCCCTTCCTGGGGTTCCTGGTTCTCCCAGTGATCCCAGTCTGGTATTCAGGCCACGCTGTGCTTCAGGCTGGTCTAGCTGTGTGAGTAAAAGCTGAGTGAGCTGCCTTTGTGCCTTTCTTTCTGAAGATGGGATTCATCCCACCAGGGAGGCTCAGCTCACAGATGAAGATGCCTCATGTTGGGTGTCTACACACATGTGTCCCCACATGAGCTGGGTATTTAAGACAACGAGGCAAACAGTGTGTGGACAAAGAGCAATTCAGCGTGCTCTTTCCACTGCTATGACGAGGGTCTCCGTTCAGCTGACACCTACTGCCACCCGAAATACTCTGGAGCATCCAAGACATCCACACAAGCCTGGCAGATACAAGACAGGACTTACATGGGACAGCTGAAAGCCAGCCCCAGGGCACCTCGGATGTCACCGTGCACCGCTGTGCAGACAGCTCAGCTGAGCTCCTTTGGTAGGTGATGGAGAGCACCTCTTCTCTCCCTTCCCGCGTAAAACCAGGATGAACTGCCCTCTGCAGAAGTCTCTGAGGACTAGCTGAGACCGCCTGCCTGAAGTGCAGAGGACTGGTGCCAGGTGAAATAAATCCTACCTGACATATCCCAGTTAAAAACATCTTTAGCTTCTCCAGAATGATTTTGATCCCCTTTCCTTGTAAGACAAAACCCACAGCAGCAGTTTGGGAGAAGAAAAACCTTCCGCTATTATCTACACCGACCATTGCTTGAGAGCCAGCCTATTCTTTATCAACATATAAGACATTTTGGTGTAAGATATAATCTAATCTGAGCCTGGCAAAATGCATATCATTTCTGTGTTGCCATTACAAAACTGGCTGAACTGAAGATCGTTCCTCAGCCGTATCATCCTTAAGTGCTAACGAACCTTATCACTAATAAGCCACTGCACTCAGGCGTGAAGCCAGTGTGCTGCAGAGGTTTTCAGCTTCAGAAGCAGCTCTGGGTCTGGGATTATTTGTCCGGCTCTGCGACACGGTTGCACGAAAGCAATGCTGGCTTTGGTTGCGTGCCCCTTTCCCCACGCTGTGCACTAAACGCCGTGTTTCTCTGCTTTCTCGCTCAGAGGTGAAGCATGCCAGGAACTGCCCCATCGACTGTGCTTCCGTTTACTACAACGGGCTGCGGCGATCTGGGGTCTACAGCATCATGCCCTCGGTCGGAGGGATGCCTATTGAAGTGCTGTGTGAGATGGACACCGAAGGTACTGCAGGAGGCACCTACAACAGCTTCTAGAAGAGCTTTGGGTGGGATTTGACTAACCTGAGTTGTATCTTATATCTGAGCTATTTTGAGGCTACGTTACAGTCAGTGAGAGTAGCATCTCCAGAAGGGCTCTTCTCCGGGGACAGAGGACTTGTCCTTTCTGCTGACTAAAGGAGGGGTTTGGATGGATAGTTCAAACCAGACATTATGGCTGGGATTCAGTTGCCTAAATACAGGCGTTTAGAGCTCTTTGAGGTGTCCTCATGCATCCAAGGTATTTGCAACACACTAGTGGGTACGACACAGAGCCCTTCTGGAGTAGCAGCTGGTCACTGGGGGGTATCCGGAGCATCTCCAGGTAGTTGAGGGTTATGTGTGGGCAACCACTAACTGTAGCTGTGCTGAAGTAAGGAAGGGGGAGGTAGATCCTCTCCCACAGGTGTTTTGGAGTGTAAATGAGGGAGCAGATGACCTCGCACACTCTTGCTGTCTAAATATCCATACGGAGCACACTACTGTCATCCCAAGGCACAAACTTACTAACAAAATCAGTTTGCCACACTGGAGTTTCGGAAGAATAATAATAATCGTCAGGGAAATGGGGTGGATTGTCAGTCCCTTGCCCCATGGATCTGCTCCAGTCCGGATGGATGTGTCACATCAACGTGTCCCGTGCTGGAGGTAGGGGTTCAGCTCCCCACAAGCAGGCATCTCCCCTATTGTAGTATCTACAGGTGATTGCAGCTTTGGGATGCACGTGCTCATTAAGAAACAGGCTGTTCAGACAATGTGGTCTCTGTTATGTCATTACTATTATTTGCATGACCATGAACATAATCTTGGACACTGTAGAGTGAGAGGCTGTACAAACAGCAAATAAAAAGATGGCCCCAGTCCTGTCCCCCCCCACCCCAAGCTTACAGTATTGGAATAAAATGAGAGAGGAGAGAGGGATTTGGACAGATGGGAGAGCAGATGGAGACAGTGAGACAATACTGGGAGAGCTCGTGTGCCTCTGTGGTGCTGCAGGAACAGTACATAATAATCTCCAAATTCCAGGATCTCTAGTTTGTTCCAGTCCCAAAACATTTGCCTCCAGAAAGCTACCATCTCTCTCTCATTTAAAACCACCTTAAGATCTGGAATGACCCCCTGACAGCCCACCGGGAACACCGTCATGAACCGACATGGGAGAGGTGGGAGCTTCTTTCTGTGAGCTATGATGGGCATCATGTTTTATCCCCGTGCAGCAACCAACACTGTATTTTGCCAGCTGGTGAAAGGACACATGACAAGGAGACACCTTGCTGAGCTGCAGATGGATCCTCAGAGGTGGCACCAGTCAGGGGTCTGTCTGGGACCCTTGGATGCTCCCTGGAGACTCCCATTTTATGTTATCTCTCTCCTGGCAGGTGGGGGCTGGACAGTCATCCAGAGGCGTCAGGATGGCTCAGTTGACTTCAACCGGACCTGGAACGAGTACAAGGAGGGCTTTGGGGACCTCAATGGCGAGTTCTGGCTGGGCAACGAGAACATCCACAAGATGACAAGCCAAGGGGACTACTCTCTGCGCATCGACCTGGAGGACTGGAACAACAAGCACAAACACGCCTTCTACCAGGTCTTCAGGTAGAAAGTGGGATGGCCTTCCCTGGTTCTCATAGACGCAATGGGTTCAATGCTGGGAGACCTTCGGGCATGGGAACCCCATTGAGGTCAGAGTGACTCTGTCTAGAGAGCTTTTCAGGCTGGGCCCAGGCTGTCTGTCCTTTCTTCCCCACCTGTTTTGACCACCAATTTTTGCTCTGGGTTGAAGCCTGGCTGTGAGCTAGCAAATGTGCAGTGTTGTTCGGCCATGGCCAACATTCACAGCCCCAGGGGAAGGGACCTGTAGGACCCAATGGACAGTCCCCAGCTGCTTAGAGGTATTTTTTTTCACCAAAATTATTGAGCTCTATGTCAAAAACAGGGCTTTGAATCCCCTGGTCTTGCTGGGCAGGTCCTCCAACATCTCCCTGGTTTAGAGTCGTGTTTTGATTTTTACCGTCTTTACTCATGGCTTTTACTTGCTGGGCCTGATTTAGTGTCCTTCGGTGTCTATAGCTCTTCCCCTCCTCTGGTGTTTTATTTATCCGTACCACATCAGCCACATCCTTTCTTAATCAGGGGTGACCAAGTCTGTCTAGACTGTCAAAAATGAACTCCTTCCCTGTCTCTACTGTAAATGCTTGTGGGTGACTGTGGAGTAATCCGCCATGGGAGGATGTCCAGGAGCGCACTGCACCTTAGGGACACTTGAAACTTGAGGGCTTTGAGTAGACCCCAAAACTGCTGAAACCACTGGGAAAAAAAAATCCCATTGCCTGAATGTGCCAAGGAACATCCTCCAAATGCATGCTCTGAATGGTCACCCCATTTTCTCATCAGACGTCATGTGTAGTGGCAGTGACCTTCGGCCTTTGCTAGCCCAGGGGCAGATAGCTCAGTCTAGGTGAAGAGTGGGATGCTTGTTATGCGGAGAGGTGGCAGTGCTGCGTAATTAGAGGGACTGTCTTGCCAAAGCTGCCGCAGTCCTTTATTGTGGTTTGAGAGTCACGGTCTGCCCAGTTCAGCCCTGTAACAAGTGCCCTGAGTCATGGCAAAATCACGCACATCCCACAGAAGGGAGAAATACATCATCTTTGGCTTCTAGAGGTGATGAATCATAGCAGGGAGCCTGGCCAGAGCAGCTCGATGATTGCTACGTGTCCACACCAGGGATGCAGCATGCAGGTTAGAAAGGAGACTCAAACACTCCCCGTTGAACAATCCCACCTTTGTCGCCTGCAGCATTGAGGACGAGGCAAACTATTACCGCCTGCACGTGGACGGGTTCAGCGGGACGGTGGAGGATTCCTTCGCCTGGTACCACAACAAGAGGAGCTTCAGCACACCTGACTCGGGGAACATCTGTGCCGAGATTTCCCATGGAGGCTGGTGGTACCACCAGTGCTTTTTCTCCAACCTCAACGGGGTGTACTACAAGGTAAAGTGGAGGGATGAGGACGCAGACGTTAGCACACGAGGTCCAGGGCTGGGAGGAGGCTGTTGGTCCTCACATCATAGCAATCCTTCCTGGCTTGACCAGCTTCTGCTCTTCAGGGAGGGAACAAAATGAATGCTGGGCACCAAGGCAGTCCAGCCTTTTCAGTGCCATGGGCCAGACATGAGAATTGAGACACCTCTGTACGCCGTGGTTTGGGACTGCATGGTGGAAACTCGTGGTACAGGTGACTCACGCAGCCTGAGATGGATGGACGCCAGCTCCATTGGGACCATTTGAAAAATGTTGGGCTTTACGTGCTCTTTTCACTGCATCATCATTAAGCTCTTTGCTCCAGTGTTTCAGAGCAATTGGTTTTCTGATGCTCCTGTCCGGATGACGCTTCCGTGTGTTTCCCATGCCTGACCATCCTTCTTTCTCTGCATCACAGGGCGGCCGATACTCCATTAAAAACCGCAAGATCCTGGGGCCAGACGGTATCGTGTGGTACTCGTGGAAGGACACAGACTACTACTCCCTGAGGAAGGTGGTCATGATGATTCGACCACGCACTTTCCGGCCCCACGTCTCCCCATGAAGGAGCCTGGGACGTTCTTCGTTTCACCTCACGTTGAACGTTGGGAACAGAGGGCTGGAAATAGTTTGCTGCGAGCAAAAACTGATGCTGGAGATCCAGGAGGGACCGAGCCACGATGCCTGTTGCTGCCTGTTTGCTTTTGAGAGAATTGAACCAACGGCAGAGGTGTCAAGACCGTCAACAAGTGTTTGGGTGGTGAAAGCTCTCCTAAAAATGTGGAGATGATTGCTGAGAAGGGCTTTGGCAAAGTCAAGCACGTGGCTTGCCGTTTCACCGGGTAGCAGCAGTCCTTGGCAGGCTTGGGCATCCCCAAAGCTTGAGACTAAACCCAGTTGACCGGGTGATGGGAGTCAGCCACACATTGAGGCTGGACCTTAGGTTGAATGGAGATGTTGAGTGCTCTGGCTGCCAACCCAACGGTATTTTAGAGGGAAGCAAAGAACCAGCAATCCTGTACGAGTTTTCCACATGGGATGTGACGGACCAATTCTCGTGCCGTACGATGAGCATCCCTCTGGTCTCGGCAGAGTTTCTCTGTTCACATCACCGCGTATGTATTTGGTACTGAAGGTCCACCACCCCAGGGATGTGCTAGGGTGGCTCCAAGGTGCTGAGATGGCCCTGAGGAAAGCCAGGAGAGCCAGCGTGCATTGCCCAGGGATGGTGTCATGGGCAAACGAGGAGGAAGGTCTGCAAATCTGAAAAGATTTAAAAATAAAAAATGCGGGAGCTTTTCCATTTTCCATTGCATTTTTACCTCTCCATCCTTTCTCTGGCAAAGAACTTCTGATGAATTTTCTATCCACCCTAAAAGGGGTCTGCAGGGATGATCAGACATGTTTTTAAGTTTTTTTTTTACTGCCTTACTCCAGATAAAGAAGATTTGTTGTTGCTGTCTTTTAATTTTCCACTCGTGGCTGCAGCGAGAGACCCTCTTTTTTTCCTGACTTTTCCTCCTCGCAGGATCAAGAGATGGAGGCTGGGACTTGGCCTCAGCCCTGATTGTGTTTGGTGATTAATATTTAATTAGACTGCCTTTTTCCTGTTTCATGTGCACAGATGAGTTCAAAGAGGGTTCAGCGAAGGGGAAAGGCAGGTCTATTGGATACAAAGCACCATTCCTCCCAACTCCTTCTCTCCTGCTTGATGCTCTGCTGACTCCCTGATGGTTTCTGTAGTTTTGGACAATATTTTGCCTGGAACCTCATTTTCAATGGGCAAATCAAGCTGAGGAGTTACCTTCCAAGCATCCTACAACCTAGTATCACCAAGATAATAAAACAACATTATTTGTCTTTCCCTCTGCTAGGTTTGCCTTGGTAGTCTTCCTTGGGTGTGTTCCCAAGACATACCTGATGGTGTTTGGGAGTTGCAATGGGCTGGTCTATGCTGCTGTTGGACCATCACTTGCCGTGAACATCTGGGCAGTACCAGCAGTGGGAGGAAAGCTTTCTCGCCTCGTGGCATGCGCGTCTCAGATATAACACCATTCCTTCGGGGTCTGACCTTCCCTCTTTGGACTGCAGGCATTCAAAAGGCCATGATGTCTAGTGGTTAAGCAATACTCTACTAGAGACTGATAAATCACTTGAATAAGCAACAACCTCATTAACTAATGATCACCTTATCGTTATTAGTCTATGATCTGATTTTGCACATTATTAAACACAACGATAAAGGTATCACTCTTAAACCTCGTGAATCACACACTACTACTGCTGAATTACAGTTCTACTATCCTTCCCTCCCCACAGCTCTTCATACGAGGGTGCAAGTGTCTCCCTTTTTACCGTCTTGCACTAAGTCTTTTGGACATAGCCCTGATGGAGAGTCCAGCGAGTTGTCCAAGGGCATCCCACGCAGTTGGGTACCCAGGTCAGCATCACCACTGTCTGTAGGCATCCATCCTCCGATCACTGAAAGATCCCACTCTGTGTTCCTTACCTGGTTTCGTAACTTATTCCTCTTTTTTTTTCTCTATTTCTACCTTAGCACCTCTTTTTCTCAGCCCAGTCTGCCCCTAATTACTTTTTTTTCCTTATTGGTCCCAATTCTGCTACATCCACACTCAAATTTGTTATATCTGATGTCATGATTGAGGCAATCTTGACCTTCTAGGGCATTACTGATATGGTTGCCTGTACACAGGTGGCTTTGCAAGACTCTGCACCCAAAAGTTCCCGAACAGTTACGGGTTCATACTGGACACATGCTGGGTGCCTTGTACACTCTCTAAGACGAATGGTTCTGCTTCAGATGTGACTCCTCCTCCTTGCCCAAACAGCTTCTTGTCTGCACGCTGGAGGAGCAGACAGAATAACGTGATTTTCGTACTGTTTTGGAGTTCACACAGCATCCTTGCCCTCGAACTGTTTTAATAACACCCCCCCCAGTTCCCTGCAGAAGCCCCAGCTGGTTATGACGCCCGGTGCTCCAGCCTCACCCCTTGCTCACCAGTGCCAGCATCCCATGAATGAATGGCTGGTACCTTGCCCAAATTTATGATTTCTGAGAAACCAGCATGAGGCTATGGACTGGAGGAAGGACATCAAATGGTAGAACAGTCCCTGCACAATGTCACTGCTGTTGACGACACATGAGCCAAGAAAAGCTCCCAGAGCCCAGCAATGGGTTTGTGGCAGGAAGATTCACCTCTTCGCTTGGTGTCCTGGAGGCACTTCCAGGATGCTGCTTCTGTACCTGCTTGGATCTGTTATGTGTCCCTTTGCAGAGACGGGCAGTTGTCTCCCCCATGCAAGTCAGCAACTGGGCAGCACTTGTCGTGTGTGCTCTGAAGGACACCCAGGCATCATCCTCTGATGTTCAGGAGGTGCACCTCATAGCACAGGTCTTGCTTGGGCTGGGATTTAGGGATGGGATTGCACCTGACTTTTCAAACAGGAGAGGTGGGATCACGTACAGAATGTTTGTCCAGATCTCAGCCTTCAGAGTCTGGCATGTGCCATGAAATGTCTCTTTGGAAGGTTCCTTGAAGGCACCAAACCTTTGCTTTGTGCTTTCCCCTTGTATGTCCTGGCTGTGCCCACAGGATGGTGCTTCAGGAGAGGACTCCACCACATAGGCAAGGACCTGGTCTCCATCACCTCCTCTCTGGTGTTTGGTTCAGGATGCCCAGGTGCGAGGGTCTGAGCTCCAACCTCTCGCCCAGGTGTGGGTGTCTTCTGCCATTTGAGACTTGTGGACTGTCAGAGGCTGGCACATGGGGCGGACAGAGGTGACATGGGACCCACAGGACACAGGGGGGCATCTGGAATGTCTCTGCATGGTGAGATGAAGGTATTTGGTATCCCAGCAAGGCTAAGGGCAGCCTGAGTCTCATCACTGCAAGCCCCAAATCCAGCCAGAGGATGCTTGAGTTCCTCCTAGGGAAGAAGGAGGAGAAGTGGGGCCAGCATCTGCAAAAGCAGCTCTGCTGCAGAAAGGGAAGGCTAAGCCTGGACTCCTGGGTGCTCAAGCCCCATAGCTTATAGCGGATGGGACATGGGGAGACCTCCTCTGCCTCTCCCCCTGTATGGGGCTGACAACGCTGCTGGCTTCCCCTGGAAGAAGGTGATGGTCCTGGTCCAGGCGTCTGCTGGGTACCAGGCTTTGGGCAAGACACAGCAGTGTGGCTAAGCAAGAAACTAAATAGACCCCATCAAATGACCCCGAATTGCACTGGGGGAGGAAAACGTGTCTGACTCGCCCCAGGACAGGGCTCCCGACTGCGAGCCTGGCTCCTTCTTCTGCTCTTCCCCTTCACACTCAAACTAACCCCTGCCTCGTTAATTTGGCTGACCCCATTATAGTGCTGTCTAAAGTGATGTGGGGCAAGAAATTGTATTGACGGAACCTCATCGAGTGCAGCCACGAGGCAGACGCCCCGCCGGGTCCCGTGCTTTGCTGCACTAACCAGGCAGCCCTGCAGACCCCCGCGCTGATGGACATGCAATGTTCCTGCTGCGGAGCAGCGGCCGGCTCTGTGCGTATCTTGCTGGGGGAACGGCTGCGTGACCTGGCGTTGTTTTGTCTCACAGCTGCCCAAGAGAGGGGGAGGTCTGAGAACTATTTCTGTCTGCTGTGCTAGGTCAATGCAAGTATTTCCATCTGGTCTCAGTGTATCTGCTGGAGATGGAGAAGGTTTATGAGGGCCACCAGCCCACGCTTCCACGGGTCTCCAGTCCCATGGCTGGGAAAGGCATTTGAACTGAGACCAGAAAAAACGCAGGAAAGGGCTCCTGGAGTGATGGTCATCAAAAAAACCTTGGTGAGGGGTCCATGACCAGCGGGCTGGATCTTCAAACACCTTGGGGTGAGGAGAAAAAGCCAAGGAGGGAGAAGAACAGGGAAGTTAAACATTAGCTATTCTAAAACGCAACACTCAAAACACTGGAAAGGAGATTAAAACTTGATCAGTTCACGGAGGGGATTATCTGAGGTGGACCACTGTGGTGGGCAAAAAGGTGGATGCAGGAGAAGATCCAGCTCACCGCTCTCTTTAGCCTAAGGCATCACCATCTCTCCCCCTTGACAGCAACGGGAGAAAAATGAGCCTCTGAAGCCTTGCTGGAGCATTGACCATGTTCATTAGGATTCGGGCCATGGAGCAGGATGATCTGAGATGCAGGTGGTTATGGGTGGGGTGGGTTTCTGCTCCAGGCGCCTGGAGAGAGTCGAGAGTTTTTAGGATGTGCATCCTGACACCATCTGCATCACACTTCGCCTGGTTTTGACTCACCCTGATCCTCTTCGGACGGCCTCTTCCAAACAGCCGCCTCCTGACGGTGTTGGTGCCTTCAGCTGTGCCCCCGTCATCATCTTCTTACCCCAGCATCCCATTTTATCTCCTGACACCCGCTGGCTTGTCCCCAGGGAGAGCTGTGCTCTCCTGGCTCGGCTCCCCGTTTCTCTGCTACCCTCCTCAAAGCTTCTGGGTGCTTTCTAAGGCTCTTTGGTGGAAGGCCTTTTTAGTCTCTCCCTATTTTCTTCATCCTCAGCCC